TTTGGGGGGCGAGGGGGTCAGTTTGGGGGTGGGGGCCACCTCCAGGGCGGGCTTCACGGCATTTCAGGGTGACGGTGACAGCCGAGGGTATGCCAGGCTTGGGGTTGTGCCATGTGCCGGCCTTAATTTGCTGGGATCCTTAATTTGCCCGTTTGCTTTCCAGTCCTGCCATTAAAATCCTCCTGTGTCTGCTGCTCCAGCCTGGCGCCCACCATGTTTTCAGAGCAGGCGACCCCCACAGCGCAGGGTTTGCTGGCCCCCCCCTCCGCCGAGGCCTCCACCTTCACCAGGGTGCCGGTTTTGGCATACGCCGACTGCTCCCAGCCCTTCCGGCTGGGCGAGCGCAGCTTCAGCCGCCAGTATGCTCACATCTATGCTGCCCGCCTCATCGAGATGCGTCCCATCCTGGAGGAGCGGGCGCGACAGAAGTGGGGTGAGTCGGTTTGGGGAATAAGCCCCCTCTTCGGGGAAGGAAGGCAAAGCTGTGCGGCCGACGCAGAGCCTGCTGGAAGCTCTTTGGTGATTTTTTGGAGCGTGCTGGCCATCGGTTCCTAAACTTACGCACACATTAAGGTGTTGAATAAGCCATGGGTGTTTTCTGGGGGATGTTTTCTCTGCCAGACGGTATCTGACCCAGCTGGGAGCATCCCTTCAACATTTCTAAAATCACCTTTAAACATCAGCTGCGTGGGCAAAATTTTTTTTTTCTCGCCAGGCCAGGTCAAAGCTTCCACTCGCTGTTGGGAGCATGAGCTAAAGCACGAGGTCTGTCGGGTTGAGGGGCTGGCGGGCGCCCCGGCCAGGAAGCGGGGTGTGGGGGGCGGGAGAGGCGCCGCTTGCACCGGAGGGGGGGCCGCTTCCTTGCCTGGTGGGGCCGCGTTAGCGGTTAGCGGGTGGGATCCTTGCACTAGAGAGTTTCCATCCGAAGGCGTAACGGCAGCGCTGATGAAGCAACCGCCTCGCCGCTGCCAGAGCGTGGTGGCTGAGCTTTCTGGCAGGCCTTGGCGCGGCACGGTTCCCTGAACGTGGTAAAAGCCTGTTATCGAATTTCACCCTCTCAGGCCAGCCAGGCTTTCGGCTTTGCCCTTCTATGGAGGTTTTCGGGCTGGCTGCTTTTTTTTCTTTCTCCATCCGGCCCCGTGGGCTGTGCGGAGCCGAGGGGAAGCAAAGCCCGCACCGGGCTGTGCTGGTTCCACAGCGGATGTTGTTCCTTGGCTGGCCGCCCTGTGCCGTAACCCTGGATTTTGCCGAGGGTGACAGGAACCAGTGGTTTTGTAAAGCTCCATTTCCCGGAGTCATGTGATGGGACGAGATTTCTGGGGTTTGTCTCACAGCAAGAAGCGCCTGCAGGCAAAATCTGGAAAGCGCAGCCCCCCTCCCCCTAAACACACACATTTGGGGGGTTAGAGCCAAGAATAAGAAACGAAAACTGGATTGTTTTTTCTGACTCTGAGTGTTTGCATTCCTGGGACTGATGAACCCATGTTTCCAGCTCCGCTGAGCCTGGGGTGCCTGTGATAGCAGCGGGGTGCTTTCCACCGGACAGGAGTCACGTTCACCAGGCGCGTGATTAGCAAAGGGAGAGTTTGGAGGGGGAAAACTGTCACCCACCCGCCCGCAGCCAGAAAGGATGACCTGACAGAAGAGCCGGCATGGCAGCGGGCTTTGGCAGTGGCGTTCTGGGAGAGGAGTCCAGCAGCTCTTGCAGAACTAGCCCAGCCCGGCAGCCAGTCCTCCTCCCTCCAGGGCTTGAGGATCAGGATGGATGGGCTTCACAGGTTGATTTAAACAGGGAGGAATAAAAGTCCTATGTAAAGGATGGGGCTGAAGCATCTCTGGGTCCTCGTGGGTGAGGTGAGAAGTCTTGGGCTCAGCTTGTGGTGAGGGAGATGAATTTTTTGCTGTCTGAAAATGCTCCCCAGCCACAAAGGTGATGAAAAGCTGGGGCTGCAATGCTCTTTGCACCTCCTGAGGCACATGTTGGTTCCCCCAGTCCGTATCGCCCTGGGACCTGTCTGTGCCTTTCAGGCAGAGGAAACCCTGCCGCTCCCCAGCAGTCTGTCTTCATGCCAGGATCTTCCCAAACGCCTGGTTGCAATGGGGATTCTGGCTTCCAGCAGGGATCCCGGGCAGAGGATCTGGCCCTGGCAGAAGCAGAGGTCAGACTTGGGGGTGGTGAATGATCTCTGCTGCCTGTCAAATCTGAGTGGGATGTTTGGGTCGTCTCCTGGATGGGGAGCAGGAACACCAGCCCCTCATGCCCAAGCACAAGAGTACCAGCTCTGTCCCCAGGCGGGACAATCCTGGACCCGTGCGCCCTCCCTTCCCGGGCAGAGCTGGACCTGTGGGCCCAGCGGGAGCTCTGCACACTGTCCTGGGTGGTGGCTGGGAGCTGTGGGCCCCCCAGACCCCAACATGACCCAGCTTTTCCCCGCCTTAACGCAGAGGAAATGCCTGCAGGCAGTGCTGGCTCTCTGGTATGCTCCCTTGGCCCTGTCTGGCCTACACATGTGGATTCGGCTCCGTGCCTTGAGGAAAAGTGAGAGGCTTTGCAATGTTCCCCCACCACCTCTTGCTGGCCTCGATGTTCAGGCCCTTTCAGCTGGTCCCGGCCAGCCTCGAGCCTTGCCTGCCCTCGCAGCCATCCCCGAGGCCGCCTGAGCCCTGTTTCTCTCCGCAGGGAACGGCGTGGCACTGAGGAAGCTCTGCGAGCTGCGGGCGGGCGAGAAGTGCTGTGTGGTGGGGACGCTCTTCAAGGCGATGCAGCTGCAGCCCTCCATCCTGCAGGAGATCAGCGAAGAGGTAACAGCAGGAACGTTCCCTCCTGTGGGCCCCCCCACCTCCTCCACACAGCTCTGGGGACATGCCAACACACATGGGGACCTCAGCCGGCTTCCCATTGTTTCCCTCGTGCTCGCTGTGGCTGAGCAAGTGGGAACTGCCAGGGCTTTGACCCGGGGAGCCGATGTATAATCTTCTCTGTGCCTACCCCATCCTTAGATGCTGCCACTCTTGGTACCACCCTTTTGTGCCAGTGTGTATCATGTATGCGCCTGCTTAGTGTTGCTAATTCCTGCCTTTCGAGGGTTTGGATCTAGTGGGGTTGGCAGAGCAAACCCCCTTTTCCTGCTGCAGGGGAGGAGGATGAGGGGGGCATCCAGGGAAGCTCCACCATCCCCATGCAGTGCCGGGGGCCCATCTGCTCCCAGCCAGCTCTCAGGGAGCACATTGGGAAGTTTGGAGCCTGCTCGTCACGGCATGAGGTTAGCACTGTGCCTGCCAGGCAGGGTTCAAAGGGAGCGGAGCGCTTGCCCGGGCGGTGATTGCAAACACATTTCCCAAGGCGAGCCAGAGCGCCGTCTCCCACTGCCTGGCTGAGCCACTTCCTCCTTGGCCGAGGAGCTGCGCTCGTGTTTGCTTCGCCGGGGCGCTGCAGGGAAGCGTTAAGTGAAACCAGCTCGTCCGGGTGGCGTGCAGCTGGCGAGCAGCGCCCAGAGCTGCTGGGGCCTCCAAAGTGCTGCCTTCAAAGCGGCAGCGGAGGCGTTGGCTGGGCCGGCGGTGGGGGGCCATGCCGGCGGCTCTTGTGAGTCACGTGCCCACATTCTGGTTTCCACGAGCGGGGTTTGGCAGGAGGGGGAAAGGCCCTTTGGGGCAGCTTGGCCTTGCTGAGGCCGTCACAGCCTGCCCTGTCCCACCCCAGCACAACCTGGTGCCTCAGCCACCCCTGCCCAAGTACATCCACCCCTCCGACGAGCTGATCCTGGAGGATGAGCTGCAGCGGATCAAGCTGGAAGGAGCCGTCGAGGTGCAGAGGCTGGTGACAGGTAGGGAACGATGGCTTCTCAGTGGGAGCCACCTCGCGGGCCCTGGCCAGGGGCTGACTGCCTGCTCTCTGCCATAGGGACCATCTTTGCTGTGTACGGCTCTGAGCAGGATGACGGCAAGTTCCTGGTGGAGGATCACTGCTTTGCTGACCTGCCCCGGCCGCTGCCCTGGAATGGCCCCAGCTCAGACCGGTGAGTCTCTGCAGCAACAGGAGCGGGACTGGCACCGTGTCCCCTGCTGTATCGCCAAGCCCTGGGGACCGTTTGCCCCATGTGCCCATCGGAGTAGGCGCCTCGTGCCAAGTGAGATCATGGACAGGGGCTCATCCCCCCCCACACCTGGCTGTCTGAAGCCCCTTGGTGTGGGCAGCCCTGGTGTCGCCGTGCAGGCAGGGATTGGTACAGGCAGGGAGCACAGCATGCTGCCCGAGCTGCTCTGCCTAGGTTTGTCCTGCTGGTGTCGGGGCTGGGGCTGGGCAGTGGGAGCGGCGACTCCCTGCTGAGCACGCAGCTGCTGGTGGACGTGGTGACGGGGCAGCTGGGCGCAGAGGGCGAGCAGAGCTGCGCTGCACAGATCTCCCGCGTCATCCTGGCGGGGAACCTGCTGAGCCAGAACACGCAGAGCCGGGACACTATCAACAAGGTACGGTGGGGAAGGGGTCTTCAGCATTGACTGTGCTTTCCGGGGCCTGGATTGGCACGGGGAGTCCCATGGAGGTGGGGAGGGAGGAATCAGAGGGTACATGGGGTTGTTCCCTCACTGTCTCCCCGCTGACCCAGGCCAAGTACTTGACCAAGAAGACCCAGGCTGCAAGTGTGGAGGCTGTGAAGATGCTGGATGAGATCCTGCTGCAGCTTTGCGTGAGTGCTTGGAGCAGGATAGGGTTGGCTGGGGGATTGGGTACCTTCTGGGGGAGGGAGCCTGGCTCCCGAGGCAGGGAAGCAATGCTCTGCCAGCAGCCCGGGGGTGCAGGGTGGCAAACACCCCTTCCCCAGCCCCCAGCTTCCTTTTGAGCACCGCATATGGTGCCGTACAGGAACGCAGCAAGAAGGGGAGGCAGTGCATAGCCCAGCTTCAGATCCCTCTCCTGGCATCTGGTCTCTGCAGTGAAGCCAAGCGGGGCTTCCTGCAGGAAAGTGGCAGGAGCCAAATGGGGGAGCAAGGCAGAGCCGGCAGCAGGCCAGCTTTGCTCTGAGCCCCTTTGAAGGAAGGTGGTTTGGCTGTCCCTGGTAATCCCTGCTCTGCCCACAGACCTCCGTGCCTGTGGACGTGATGCCCGGTGAGTTTGACCCCACCAACTATACGCTGCCCCAGCAGCCGCTGCATCACTGCATGCTGCCCCTTGCCAGCGCCTACTCCACGCTCCAGCTGGTCACCAACCCCTACCAGGCTGATGTGGACGGCATTAGGTAAAAAAGCCTGGTGTGCCACCAGCTCTGTGACAACTGCTGGCAGCATGGGATCGCGGGGCATGTCACGGCAAGTACAGCTATCCGAATCTCTCCTTCCTTCCCCCAAAATGTTGTAGGTTTTTGGGGACGTCAGGGCAGAACGTCAGTGATATCTTCAAATACAGCAGCATGGACGATTACCTGGAGATCCTGGAGTGGACGCTGCTGGCAGGACACATCAGCCCCACAGCCCCGGACACCCTGGGTAAGGCAAGGGCTGGGTGGCCACTGAGGCTGGGGGGTGTTTCCCCTCTGAAGGGGCGCAGGTGCAGGTTCCTCTCCTAATTTCCATCCCTCCCAGGCTGCTACCCCTTTTACAAATCGGACCCTTTCATCCTCACCGACTGCCCTCATGTCTACTTCTGTGGCAACGCTCCACGCTTCCAGTCCAAGCTGCTCAAAGGTGAGTCCTGCAGCCTGCAGCACCCCCTTATCCTCGCTCGGGGCTGGGACCTCGTGCCAGGGTGCTGACTGGGCGCTCGTCCACCTTACGCCCGCCTGTCTTTGCAGGGGAGCACGGACAGCAGGTGCTGCTGGTGACGGTGCCCACCTTTAGCACCACACAGACCGCCTGCCTCGTCAACCTGCGCAACCTCAGCTGCCAGCCCATCAGCTTCTCCGGCTTTGGGACCGAGGATGATGATGGGGACATGGAGGTTGGGCACTGACTGAGCAGGCAGGGCACGGACTTGATAAACCCCTGGCCCCTCAGAGGGTCCTGGCACCCATCGCCTTTGTGTCATTCCCATTTGTCCTCCTGGGAGGGCTGGTGTGGAACTGCCGGGGCGTGGGAGAGAAGAGATGCTCGTACCAATATAACTTGATTTATTTGTGTAATAAAAAACTGTGTGGAGGGGACAGGGGCTGCACCTACCTCCTTGTGGGCCCTGCCCTGGAGAGCAGGACCACCCCTGCCAACCCTGCTGTGCCAGGAGATGGGGATGGGGTGAGGGCTGGGTCCTGCTTCACCCCCTCCCTTGCCAAGCAAGGGCTGGCACCGCCCAGCCCCGAGGGATGGGGCAGCATGTCCTTTCCTGCCTGGCTCTGGAGCCTGGCAAGGGGGAGGCGCTGCAGCCGCCCAGCCTTTGGGGCGAGCATCGGCATGGCATGCCCTGCAGTCCTAGGAAGCAGTGCAGGTGAGGAGCTGGAGCCCACCCGGAGCGGGCTGCCTGGGGCTCGAGGAAGCCTTTAGAAGCGGATGCTGGAGCCTGTGGCAGGCGGAACCAAACTGGCTGCGAGCGTCCGGCCTTGGCTTGAGGCAGGAGCGAGGGGACAAGCATCTCCTAGTCACCAAAGTTCACGGTGTAGGTCTCGGCCGTAGTGAAGGGCTGCGCTGTCCCTGTGCCCAGCTCCCAGGCCTCTGTCTCCGTCACCAGCTCGGTGACCACCTCTGTTTCGGTCTCCATTTCCCAGGTGCCAGCTGTGGGTGGCTCTTGGCTCCAGGGCGCATAAGCAGTACTGCTGAAGGGGAAGGGCAGGGCTGTGGTGGGTGGCGGGGCTGTGGGGCTGCTGGCAGTTGTGGTGGCATTGAGACGTCGCAGCCTCATCTGCTGCCGGAGCCGCATGCGGTGCCGGAGGCGCATACGCAGGCGCATGCGTTCACGGGGTGTCATGGGGCGGCCAGGCACAATGCGGCGGATGGGTCGGTTCCCGTTCATGGCCATGATCTCCCGGATGCGTTTCCAGTTGGAGCGCGACAGGACGAAGTTGCACTGGGTGGCCCCAATGTCATAGAAGACGCTGCAGGTCTTGACACTGGGGTTGTAGCCCTCAGCCCGAGCCAAGACACGGTACTCGCCCGGGTTCAGGATGCGCCAATAGTCCCCGCTGCTGGCTGCAGACAGTGAGGGGAGGCAGTGGGGTGTGAATGAGGTAGCGCGGTGCTGCCGGCACCCTGCCTGGCACCCAACCCTGTGCCCTACCTGTCTTGATGTTGTGGTTGATGCCCCCCACGACGATGGTGGCGTTGGCGATGGGTTCTCCCTGCTGGTCCGTCACCAAGCCCTTGATGCCCCGATGGACCTACGCAGGGAAAGGGAATGAGAGAAGCTGTGTGGGGCAGGCAGGGCAGCTGCTGGCTCCCTGCCCGGCACATCCCAGCACCTACCTGCTCCATGAAGGTGAGCAGCGACTCCTTGTTGTTCTCCCACTCCTGCTGCAGCTCGCTCTCGTGGGGGAACTTGTCGCAGCCCAGGTAGATGGAAAGCTCCAGGCAGTTGGTGTGCAGGTAGCTGAAGTCATTCAGGCCTGCAAGACAAACAGCCACGTGCCCACCCAGCCGCTTGCTCACACTTTCACGTGGAGAGAGCATGGGGTGAGAGTAAGCCGACGCCATACGGTGTGGCACCCACTTACTGCCAGTCCGCGGGTGCCACTTGGCCCCTTGCACGATGCCCATGGCATTGGTCATGTCCTGTGTGTGGCAGCCCCCGCGGAAGGTCTCGGTCATGGTGAGGTGGGCTGAGGCGTAGGAGATGGCAAGCCAGCGGAAGATGGCGTGGTCGGGCGTCTCCTGCAGTTCAGGGTCATCGTCCTCATAGTCATCCGGTGGGCGAGCGGCAGCCGCCGGTGTCTCACTGACAGGCCGGGCCGTGTCGAAGGGGTAGGACACCAGCTTCTCCCCACCCTGCAGGTTGGCTCCCAGCACGAAGGGGTTCTTGTCCATCCACGCCATGATGGCCCGCGTCTCCACTGCCACCTGCCAAGGCGGGCACGATGGCATGAGACATCACCTCCCCATCACTGCCCCGCTGCTGTGCCCTGTGCCATGGCTCACCGTGGCATCCTCAGTCAGGTAGTGCTCCGGGATGGGGATATGGTGGTTGGGGAACTTGTGGGGCACCAGCTTCCTCTCCTCGGCCGCCCACAGTGCCGAAGCCAAGTCAGGGAAGTTCTCAAAGAGGTCGTAGCCCTCCTCCGTCCAGTGGCCCAGTGCCCAGTTGCCCAGCTCAGAGCCCTGCGGGCAGCCCGGGGCAGCGGTGAGCCTGGGGGCTGCATCCCACCGCCCCGCCATCCCATCCCCTGCCTTGCCGTCCCCTTACCG